AGAGACAGTCCTTTTACTCCCTGTATGAGTCCTGGGTCCCCAGAGACTTCCCAGAACCGGAGTTCAGAGCAGTTAGGAGCTTGTGACTCCCTCCCAATTCAAAAAGACAGCCGCACCCTCAGGTACCAGCCCCTTTCCACGCCCACGCTCGAGCCTCCGTACCTTTGCACTTTACTTCCGCAGCTCCTCTGAGTCTCAGTGTGCTTTTCTCTTTTCTTCTAGTTGTAGAATTTCCACTTAGCCAGCCTTCCTGTAGTTCTGGATGATGTCCGTTTTGTCTTTTGCTGTATTTTTGAAGTTGTTGTGGGAGGTAGCAATTTCCTGGTGTTTACCTATGCCGCCATCTTAGTTTCTCCCCCTCATTTGAATTTTTTATCTCATGGAATATATGTTTCTTCAACTCATCTGTCTTTTTTTGTTCAACCACAAAATTACCTAAAGAAAAGTACATCCCTAGCTTCTGTGTATGTGTAGAAGATGGGCAAAGATTACTCTAGGAAAGAAACTGGAGGAAAGGAAAAGATAACGACTGACCCACCAATGCTCAGCTAACCCAAAAAGAATGAGTGCAGTAGTTGAAATTTAGCTGCATGGTTTCTTCCTCAATTTGCAGCATTTTGGCCTTGAGGCAGGTTTGCACAGTGCAAACTGGATGATGATTAAGGGCAATTACATGGTCAATGAGGGCTTTTAGATAAGTCAGCAAAAGAAAAGCATTCCTGGGTCTTAAGCTTCAGTTAGACATTTTGACAGTTTGAATATCTGGCTTTATGGTTAATGATCCAACAACCCTCAACTTCACTCTTTATAGACTTTTTCAGTGCATTGAGGCACATCAACTAAGGTCAAACAAAAGTGTAGACGTAATGGTTTATTTAGTCAATAAGCATTTATTCAAAACCTCACTGCCTGAGGTATTGTGGAGGCTAAATAAGCTCTGAGCTTGACCTTGAGAACTTCAGTCTGTGATGCTGTCACCTACGTACAGGGCTGCAAACATCCCACGGTCACCGCTGACACCAGGCTCATGTCGCCAGAACTGTGTTTCGCAGGCCTCGTGGGTGTCACAGAAGAGGTCCCAGACACAGACACTCACCTTTTCCACCCACCTGTCACCACTGCAAACCAACAGCTCCTTTCTGAATCTCTGTGCAGAGAAATTTCACCTCCAGGAATGTGGTCTCTCACAATAGAAACCTGGCGTCCTTCTCAATTCCTTCTTCAGGTTCATCCAAAAATCCGGAAAGTTCAGATCCTTTGATTTCTGCCTGTAAATAGCTCTTTATTTGCTTTTTCCCTCATCGGCTCTAATCTCACCTCCTGCATGCTCACCGCTCCTCTTCTCCAAAGCACCCACCTACGCTGCACACTGTGTGGCTCCCTTCAGCCTGCGGGCCGATGCAGGTGACAGCAGCCATCAGAACCTGGCCCCTCCCTGCCCCGCCACCCAGCCCCAGTGCACAGTTCCCGTCACGTCGAATGTCCTGTCCACCTTGGAGAGCGTTGTCCTCACGGCCCAGAAAGCCTCCATCCATTTCTCCGTGGGCGCCCTGCTAAGCCTCTCAGATTGAGACGCTCTCTGTGCAGCCCTCCCGCACCCCAGGCTGCGTCCCGTGTGTGCGTGTCTTTACAGTTGATTGTTAGTTACGTACTTACTCACATCCCTGCCTCCCGTGAAGTTGTGAGCATCGACCGGGGACTCTGGCTAACTCATCTTTGTTTCCAATACAAAGAGACTCAACAATGTCTGATGGGGGAATCAACATGTAGGTATACTTAGGTTTTAAAAAGAAATCTGTGAAGCGGTATCTATAACACTTCTTAATCATAAGGAAGGAGGGTTTTTTCGGGTTTTGTGGACCTAATGCCCTATTTCCATCCCCTTTAAGGCATATCGGGTCTCTTCTCACCACCTTCGTTTCCGCCGTTCTAGAGAAGAATCCAAAAGGTCTTAGTGGACACCGTTGAAGAATCTTGATGCTCACACAGGACTTGTGACATTTGAAAGAGATACAAATTATACTGTGAAAAGCCGAAGGGAAGAGAGAAAGACCGCTGGCCTGGGAATCCGCAGCCATTTTGGAGATACTGTGTTTGTGGGCCTGGTCTGGAGAGGGTCCGGGGGGTCACACTAGGCTTCTCTTTAAATGGGATCCTCAGGTTCCCCGGTTCCACATGAGCCCCAGGAGTTCCAGCTGGAAGTAGATGGAGAGGGCAGGAGTGGGTGTGAGGGCGTGAGAGTGATGGAGGCCGTGCCGGCCCGGGAGGCTCAGGTCAGACCTCGGGAGGAAGGTGGAGAGTGAGACGAAGCCTGTGCGGAAAGTCAGGTCCTTAGGCAATCACTCGCTTACACCTTGTAACCTGTACTGGCCTGTCTGCTTTTTTTAGAAGGGCGTCCATTAAAGCACAAGTTATCACAGACTTAGTGACTTCCAACAGCGCCCATTTAATAGCTCACAGCTCCATAGGGCGGAAGGCTGGTGGGTTGGCCGGGTCGAAGGCCTCACAACTGAAACCAGGGTGTCAGCCAGGGCCAGCTGGCTCTTACCTGGAGGCACGAGAGCAATCTACTTGCAGGCTCATCCAGTTACTGGCAGGAGGCGGTGCCTGTGGTTGTAGGACGGGTCCTCAGCCAGGAATGCAGAATCTCCCAAGGAAGACCCCCTGGCGCCCAAACCTCTGCCTGCCTAGAGAAACTGCTGCTAGAGGAGGCTGCCTGGTTATAACCCATTGCTTCCAGAGGGCTGAGCCCTGAGCACGGCTGGTTTCCCCTTGTGAGCCCCACCATATGCATCGGCTGGGGCTACGCAGGACCGTTCACCACGCAGCCCTAGAATCCTGCCCGCA